TCGAGGTCCGCGACAAAATCCAGAGACGGATATATAATCTGATAGGTTCTGATCTGGCATCTCGTCTACAGTCACTTTTTGTCAAGGATATACCGTGGCTTCCCTCTGTCTCTTCTACAAGTATTTTCACGGCAACTGTTCCGACAACCTGCTTTTGCTGGTTCCCAGACTGCCTAAATTTAAGCGAGCTACTAGGCTGACATCTCGGTCCCACCCTTTCACAGTCGAAACAGTTAAATGTAGCCGTCTCCTCTACTGAAATAGCTTCTTCTCCCCTTACCGTCTCTTAATTGTTTCCCTGATAACTCTAATCTTCAAATATTCAAGTGTAATGTCAATCGACATCATCTGATACCTTGATCTTGTTCCCTGCCCTCTTTAACCCCTCCCCAAACATGCCTCTTTACTCTTGTTCTCTATCCTCTGTAACCCCTTGTGTGCTAGGGGCACTCCCGCCTTGCTTTAAAAATTGAAATCTGACCTTTTTTATAGTTACCGATGTACAAATTAGTCGCACTAATCGAGGAAAAAGTCCGTAAAAGAATTTGTTTCTGAGAATTGAAGATTATTTGAATTTTGTTTTTAAATGTTTCCTAGTCTGCTATTGGCCGAAAAAAACAATTCGTATCAAGGTGTAATACATCACGAGTTTTGTTTGGGCTTCGCTTTTGCGTGTAAGCAAAATTTGTAAATTTGAGTCTTTTTAATTTCTAACAAAATCAAAGAGCCAGTGCTTAGCATTTGAATTTTAAATCTAGATCTTGTTTTGTTCACTACACTTCCACTTCCGGTTTTCTGCTTCCTCCTCCTCCGGAATTCTATCTAGCTTCTCTACTATCTCTCCTTCTCCATCATTTCTTCTTCCAAATCTTCTCTTTTAATCTCACTTCTTATTTATTCCCTTTTGAGGATGTGCATGTGGTGTAAATGATTTCAGCTTGTACCGAAGTAAGGCCGAGTTCGAATTCTGATATTGTTTCGTTACATTCAGTTACGCGAAAATACCCTTGGGAAATGTATGAATCTTCCTCTAGGTATGTGTTCAACAGAAGGACTTGTATCCGTAAAAATATTTTTTTTTCTTAAAATTCTATATAATACTAAAAATCTGTGATTTCGAGCGTGCTTCTGTGCTTGTGTGGTGCGTCCGTCCACCGTATAATAATTTGCCAATTGTGTCTACAGTAAATATTTTAGTTTTACCTTTCATTAAACAGACAATTTTTTAGTTAAAGTATTTTTAAGTTAAAGACAGACACAAAGAGATCCCGCTTTGCTGTTTCGTCGAGCTGGTTTAGTAATAATTTGCATTTCAGCTTTCTTTAAACAAAAAATATTTTAATATTTAAAAAAAATATATTTTTAAGTTAATCTGATTTTAAAAATATTTAAGTGAATAAGTTTTAAAAATCCTAGATGTTTATACGGTATTTTTATTTTAAATTTCTGCAAACAGACAATTTTTTATTTAAAATATTTAATGTTAAACACAGACACAAAGAGATCCCGTGTTGCTGTTTCATCCAGTTGTTTATAGAGTAATTATCTTTATTTCAGCTTTCTTTAAACAAAAAATATTTTAAATATTTAAAAAAATATTTTAAGTTAATTTGATTTAAAAAATATTTAAGTGAATAAGATTTTAAAATACGAGTTGTTTATATTGTATAGGTATCCCTCGATTAATGCGCATTTGATTAATGCGTTTTCGATTATTATACTAAAATTTTTATATACCAAAATTAGATTAGTGCATACATAATACGCGATGATTCAGGTTAACCAACTGCTTTCATTTTACTTACCATAGAGAACCCTCCTGCTTCCTAACAGAATGGCTGAAACTCAAATTCACGAGAGCGCCTCGCCGCCCCTTCGCCTCGTCGTGCCTCACCGCGCCTCGCCGCACCTTGCTGCACCTATTTGGTCTCACGCTGTTTTAATGAGCTGAGGTGGAACAAAAACAGAAATCAATAGCTTCATCTACCGCAAGGAAAAGTGGTTCTCTCGTGTCGTTCCATTTAGTTTTTCTCCTTTGGGTAAATCCTTTAAATCGATTAATTAACCATCCGTCCTTGCATGGAATACTGCTGCCAATATGGTCTGTTGACCCCGCTGGTCATCTCGAGGTCCGCGACAAAATCCAGAGACGGATATATAATCTGATAGGTTCTGATCTGGCATCTCGTCTACAGTCACTTTTTGTCAAAGGATATACCGTGGCTTCCCTCTGTCTCTTTTCTAGAGTAATTATTTTTTTTCCGGCAACTGTTCCGACAACCTTTTTTTGCTGGTTCCCAGACTGCCTAAATTTACACAAAGAGCTCCTAGGCTGACATCTCGGTCCCAATAGTTTCACAGTCGAAAAGTTAAATGTAGCCGTCCCTCTACTGAAATAGCTTCTTCTCCCTTAATTAATTGTTTCCCTGATAACTTAAAACTTCAAATATTCAAGTGTAATGTCAATCGACATCATCTGATACCTATTTATCTTGTTCCCTGCCCTCTTTAACCCCTCCCCAAACATGCCTCTTAACTTGTTTACTATCCTCTAAAACCTTGTGTGCTAAAGGGATCCGCCTTGCTTTTCGTCCAAAATTTCTATCTGACCTTTTTTATAGTTACCGATGTACAAATTAGTTAACATAATCGAGGAAAAAGTCCGTAAAAAGAGAATTTGTTTCTGAGAATTGAAGATTTATTTATTTGAATTTTGTTTTTAAATGTTTCCTAGTTAACTATTGGCCGAAAAAAAAAAGAGATCCCCTTTCGTATCAAGGTGTAATTTCACGAGTTTTGTTTGGGGCTTCCCTTTTTGCGTGTAAGACAAAATTTTAAATTTGAGTCTTTTTACAATTTAAAACAAAATCAAAGAGCCAGTGCTTAGCATTTTGAATTTTTCTAAATCTAGATCTTTATTTTCCCTTCATTTAAACAGACAATATTTTAATTCCTCCTCCTCCGGAATTTACATCTAAAAACTCTACTATCTCTCCTTCTCCATCATTTCTTCTTCCAAATCTTCTTTTTAATCTCACTTTTATTTATTCCCTTTTTAGGATGTGCATGTGGTGTAAATGATTTCAGCTTGTACCGAAGTAAGGCCGAGTTCGAATTTGATATTGTTTCGTTACATTCAGTTACGCGAAAATTTCTTGGGAAATGTATGAATCTTTCCTCTAGGTATGTGTTCAACAGAAGGACTTGTATCCGTAACTTTGCTGTTTCGTCCAAAATTTTTTTTCTTAAAATTCTATATAATACTAAAAATCTGTGATTTCGAGCGTGCTTCTGTGCTTGTGTGGACGTCCGTCCACCGTATAATAATTTGCCAATTGTGTCTACAGTAAATATTTTAGTTTTACCTTTCATTAAACAGACAATTTTTTAGTTAAAGTATTTTTAAGTTAAAGACAGACACAAAGAGATCCCTTTGCTGTTTCGTCGAGCTGGTTTAGTAATAATTTGCATTTCAGCTTTATTTTTAAACAAAAATATTTTAATATTTAAAAAAATATATTTTTAAAATCTGATTTTAAAAAATATTTATGAATAAGTTTTAAAAAATCCTAGATGTTTATACGGTATTTTTTATTTTAAATTTCTTTAAACAGACAATTTTTTATTTAAAATATTTAATGTTAAACACAGACACAAAAAGAGATCCCGTGTTGCTGTTTCATCCAGTTGTTTATAGAGTAATTATCTTTATTTCAGCTTTATTTAAACAAAAAATATTTTAAATATTTAAAAAATATTTTAAGTTAATTTGATTTAAAAAATATTTAAGTGAATAAGATTTTAAAATACGAGTTGTTTATACGGTAATTATTTTTATTTTAACTTTCTTCAAACAGACAATTTTTTAAATTAAAATATGTAAAGTTAAAGACAGACACAAAGAGATCCCGCTTTGCTGTTTCAGCAAGTTTTTCTAGAGTAATTATTTATATTTGAGCTTCCTTTAAACAAACAATATTTCAAATATAAAAAAAAAATTTTCTTGGTATATTTAAAATACGAATTGCTTATACGGTAAGTATTTTTATTTTAACTTTCTTCAAACAGACAATTTTTTTAAATTAAAATATTTAAAGTTAAAGACAGACACAAAGAGATCCCGCTTTGCTGTTTCTGCAAGTTTTACTAGAATAATTATTTATATCTGAGCTTCCTTTAAACAAACAATATTTTAAATATAAAAAAAAATTTGTTGGCATATTCCAAGAAATATTTTCAAGTGAATATGATTTTAAAATATTTTTTGGCATATTAAAATATATTTTCAAGTTAATCTGATTTAAAGTTCAAGTTTATCCTTGGAGTTCTATTCCTATAGAATGTTGCAAACAATCATTAAAAGTTAAACATGAACTTGTAAATCAGACTAATGATGACAAAAACAAATTGAAATATTTAACTGAATCATACTAAAATTAACTTTCACTTCAATGGAACGTTGAAATTAACTTTTATGTTTTATAACTTGAACCCTCAGTTACCCAAAGGGTCAGGGGAAGTCGAGTTATTAATAAACTCTTATCCAATCTTTTGAACAGTAGTAAAGGTTTATATTTTGTTTTCAGTTTAGGATTGGTTTTCTGGTTCATTCTAAAGTCTACTTCAACTCTTTATTCCTAACGTACCCGTCTAGACTCTGCATTTTTATTTACAGTTTATTTATATCCGATATAAGAGAAGATAGGTTTACATATCACCCGGTTCACACTCTTTCGAACAGGATTAGATGTTTATCCTTTCTTTCCTGTTTAGGATCGACTTTCGGGTTCCTTCTAAATACTTTTCTATTCTCCTTCACCCACAGTAGACCGTGCATCTTAGTGGCATTATCTCATTGCTTAAAGATATTCACTCACCAAAAATAATTATACTTCAAATCAAAATATTTTGTCTTTAAATAACCTTAAACTGATTGATAAGCTGTAAAGAAAAACAAATCAATCAATCCCTTTTTTTCAGCACCTCCTTCAACGCCCTATATGTCCATTTGTTTTAATCTGTCCTCTATCTTACTGCCTTATTCATTAACGTCTTATTTTCCTTCACGGTGTCCGCCATTTTTAATTCAGAATCTTTCTCTATTCCTTCGTATGTTCATCTACCTGCATTCCCTCTTCATCTTTATTTTTTCTTCATCCATTCGACCGTCTTATTCGGTTCTTATTCTAAAATTTATTTATCATTCTTTCACTTTTTCGCATTCTTCTTTTACTCATTTCTTTGGTCTTCCTTCTAAACAATCTTCGTTATTCTTTTCCTATTTTTGTTCTTTCATACCACCTTCTAATATTCTCCTTACTTCTCCAGTTTTCTTCTCCATTTCCTCCATTCTTTCTCCAGTCCTTCGAAGATTTTCTTTTGATTGCTTTTGTTTAATGGTATCAACACCCCTATTTAATGCCGAAATCTAAATATTTTAAACAATTGTATGGCTTCAACTAAAAATATTTTGAAACCAATTGTATGCATTCAACCATAGATAAAATGTATTGTTGGTCATTTTGCTATAATATGTATCGTTGTTAATTATAATATAAAATGTATTCTTGATCATTTCGCTATAATATGTATTGTTAATTCTAATATAAAATCTATTGTTGATCATTTCGCTATAAAAATGTATTGTTTTTAATTCTAATATAAAATGTATTGTTGATCATTTCGCTATAATATGTATTGTTGTTAATTCTAATATAAAATGTATTGTTGATCATTTCGCTATAATATGTATTGTTGTTAATTCTAATATAAAATGTATTGTTGATCAGTTCGCTATAATATGTATTGTTGTTAATTCTAATATAAAATATATTGTTGATCATTTTGCTATAATATGTATTGCTGTTAATTCTAATATAAAAATATTGTTGATAATTTTGCTATAATATATATTGCTGGTAATTCTGTTACAGATATGTATTTTTGGTAAGATTTTATATATGCAAATGGTATTTTTACTATAAAAATATATTGTTATACTTACATAGCGTTTTGTTATTGTTTGGGACGTTCACTATTTGCCCGTAGCAGGGACTCTAACAAGTGCTACTACCCAGGGTCAGAGCGGACCTGTGAACAGCATCAACTAAGAGGTGGTTCCATGCTCCTGAAACGTCCAGTCATTGGTCTAGCTGCCGGATGTAATTTATCGTCATACCCAGAAATATCTTTCTAACAGAATTCTTCTTCCTTATTTTTCATTCTCTTTTTTTGTTCTCTTGTAACACTCTTCGTTCAATGTTTCTTCTCTCCCTCCATTTCTTTCTTCTACACAATCAATGCTCCCTTTACATCGCTTCTTTGAACCTTTCTCTTTATTCCAAAGCTTACCTTATGCCTATCTTTAAATTCCAATTCAATTATATTCACTTCTAAAGTTTCCCGTTTTTCTTCCATTGCTTCATTCGTTTATTCTTAAACCATTATTTTATTTCTAAAATCTCCTTTTCACCGGTAGAGGAATCCCTTTCAAATATATAGTTATAATATCAACGGGAAAGGAAAGCTTTGTCCAATACCTTTGAAATTTTCAATAACTTTATAGATTTACTCTAAACATCGGACCTGGGATTTGCTGAATATTAACAAAGGCAAGCAATTTGCTTTCAGGACAAATTTGTTATAACTTACATTGAAATATGCACCAAAATATGACAGAATTTCATACATATATTTATATGTTAGAACTAATACAAAGAGATATAGGTGGGTTTGTGCGTGTTTGTGTGTATATATGTGGGCATTATATATAAAACCACATTGATTTAGTATATTTAGAGATGTAGAATGGTTAATATCGGAGATAGATCGATTCATCGATATAGAAAGGATTATCATAAGAATCAACATTGCATGGCGATTGTCAGTTTCTCGTTTAAATACGTTCAGACATGAAACTCATAGTCACCATGTAGTGTTGATTCCTTTCTCCAAACAGACACTATCTATTTCACTCTCCCTCATTCTCTCTCTCTCTCTCTCTCTCTCTCTCTCTCTCTCTCTCTCTATATATATATATATATATATATATATATATATATATATGAAGAAAAATATATACGGAAAAAACAAAACAAAAAACCTTATATACGATTATGCTGTTTTAATGCTAATATGTTAACGTCTGAGGTTTCGGTCTAATAAACCATCTTCAGGACATAATTATAAATATAACATTATCAATACAACATGACAAAGACGATGTACATAAGAACAAGACTTATCCAAACAGAATAACTGAAAGTTTTATAAGATCAGCGCTCCGTTTAAAACATGGTCACGTTGTCGTCACGTGGGCGACGCTGTGAAAACGTATTCCTACAATCTTGAGTATTTTGAATGAAAAATGAAACGAATTCTATTTTTGAACTAAAATTTATATGTACGCTTGTCGATCATTAATCTCGCTAGAAAAGGGGAAATATTAAAGAAACCAGGTCGAGTATTCACCGTGCGTGAGATGGTTTATTAGACCGAAACGTCAGACATTGACATATTAACATTAAAACAGCATAATCGTATATAAGGTTTTTTGTTTTGTTTTTTCCGTATATATTTTTCTTCATACTGTCGGATCTATATCCATATATTTGCTTACACACACACACACACACACACACACACACACATATATATATATATATATATATATGTCACCAAAAAATGTATCCTTTCCGGTTACATCTTTAATGTATTAGACATCCGACAACATTCATATTTTTCTCACTTAAACCGTCTTTGACTCACCTCTCTAAAACTTCTCTCTGTTAAGTTTCAATCTCCCACCTTCTCTCGGCTGTTACCACTCTCTTTAGCTCTAACATTCGTCCTACACTCACACACTTACACTCTCTCTAAATTCTATTTTTCATTTCCGGAGTTGTTTTTGCTGATTTCTTTTCGAATTTGTAGGTCTGATGAATTGGATCGTATTTACGATTTCAGTGGAATAAATTATAACCATGGAATATTAGTGTTTAAGCCTTTTTTTTTATTATATCCCTACTCTGTCCTGGACATTGAGTTCTACCTGGATTCTATCCTCTTGGATTTTTTTTATTAAAAATATATATATATGTATGTGTATGCATGCATGTATATATATTTAGATATTTTGCATATGTATGTGTATATTTACCACTAATATTATATATAAATAAATAAATAAATATATATATATATATATATATCTTTGAATATATATATATATATATATATATATTTTAAAACATTTTTATTATATATCTTTGAATATATATATATATATATATATATATATATATATATATATATATATATATATAAGACATTTCTATGTTTATACATTCTTTTATAGATACAAATATTTAAGTAAATGCTCTGTTTTATAATAAACAGTATTAATAACATTTACCGGCCTGAATGTCCGAGACATTTTCTATGAAGATTTCTCGGACACTCAAGTCGGTAAATATTATTAATACTGTTTATTATAAAACAGAGCATTTACTTAAATATTTGTATCTATAAAAAGAATGTATAAACATAAAAATGTCTTAAAATTAATGTCGCACTTTATCCATTTCATAATATATGTATGTATATATATATATTTCTTAATTCAATTTAATTATAAAACAGACAACCTTAAGGGTCTATTGATTATATTTTATTTTCCCAGGAAGGTGGATATTACCTGGCTCATCAGATCATATTTCCAGTCACTTGGAAATATGATCTGATGAACCAAGTAAAAACCCCCTACCTGAGAAAATAAAATATAATCAATGGACACTTAAGGTTGTCTGTTTTATAATAAAATTGAATTAATAATTGCTCTGGTTTGACAATGAGGTCTTTGGATTACAACCTCCTTGGGATTATCTATACGGATTGCGAAACTTTTCATTACCTAATATAATATATATATATATATATATATATATATATATATATATATATATACCGTTGTATCTAAGAAACGATTAAAGATATCTTAGTGGAATTCTTCGAGTTTTTATAACACTATTTGTTTCTAGTTTGAACAGTAAGAATGTATTTAGCTCTAAGTTCAAATGATGATCCCTCTTTCTGCTGTGACTTAATGATTCAGTTTTCCTCTCTATGTTCTCTCTTTTTAAAACTTATAAACCGATCTCTTGATGGTTCTTGAATAAACTTTGAAGATGGAAGCCAGAATATGAATGTTGGTACCATTACTGAAGGCCTGACTGATCACTTTCCTCTCATCATTGCTCAGTTGAGAACATTGTGGGTTTTATACAAAAATTTTTTAACCTATTCTCTTCCTCGCTGAATAACTCAAAGTGTTTTCAGTGATTCTTACGACAAATGATGCGAAGATGGCTCAACGTCTTATCTGAAAACATGGAAAAAAGAATCTCAGTTTAGTGTTTTTAGATATTAAACATTGTGTGATATGCATAATTATGCAGTTACACGATTTGAACAATCTTGCAGTTACACCTGGTATATATATATATATATATATATATATATATATATATATATATATATATATATATATATATATATATGCGTATTTGTGATAAAGAGGGAGTGAAAGAGAAAGTCGAGCTTCCCGCCAATTAAAACATGTAAAGGCCGGAAACTCAGTTCTATCTCGAGGAACTTAGAAAACTGAAGAGTTACAGATATGACAATGGTTAGAGTCGTGTAGGCTGACTGAGAACCACCCAGACTTTTAGTAAGAACTGATAGCTGGTGTAAAGTGAGGTCCATCCCCTAGGCTGATTATGAACCACTTGTGGGAGGGGGTTGGATATGCTATTTAATCCATAGTTGAGGTGAGTAGTGATTCATGCCATTCCCAAATGTAATTGCGCAAAATTGAATTAACAATCTCGACCAGAATTCGAACACATACTCAGAGACACACACACAATATATATATATATATATATATATATATATATATATTGAACAATAAAAAAATATTAAAATATTAAAATCTTCAGACACACTGGGTTGTAGATTATTCTTTCGTTTTTTTATTATTATTTCATTTAGATTCCTCGACTAGTTTCGGCCAAAATGGCCATCATCAGCAGAAGAAATATTTCTGCTTGCTGGTAGCAGTAAACTACAGAAATGAATGTCTTGATGGAGAAAATGAACTTTTGTCTATAGTTTTCATTTGTTTTTTTATTTTTTATCTTTTTAACATGAATCTTTTAACATTCCTTGTGTTGGTCAAACAGTCTCTTTTAAGTTGTTATTTGAGATAAGACCTGGATGGATCTATGCTTCCCTAAATTCCCTTGATCAGTTTGACAGTATTATTGGACCTGGTTAGGGGATGTGTCTCTGTTTAGTGTTTGTGTGTGTGTTATTTGGTTCTCAGGGAGTGAGTGAGTATGATATGTGTAAGCGTGTGTATTGCTGTGGGCGAGTGTTATCATTTGGCTCATTAGGGAGTGAGTGAGTATGATGTGTGTAAGTGCGTATATTCGTGTGGATATGCCTATAAGTGTGAGGCCTCAACACCTCCGTAAGCATGTCTGTCTTGTGTGGGTGAGAAATGTGGGTAGGTTTATATATATATATATATGACGTCATATATTAAGAAATGGACAAGGTGCGACAATTTATTTATTAAAGACATTTTTTTTATGTTTAACGTTGTTATTTATAGATACAAGTATTTAAGCAAATGCTCTGTTTATGATAAACAGTATTAAATAACATTTACCGGCCTGAATGTCCGAGAAATTTTCATAGAAAATCCTGTCAAAGAACGAATATTTTCTATGAAAATTTCTCGGACATTCAGGCCGGTAAATGTTATTTAATACTGTTTATCATAAACAGAGCATTTGCTTAAATACTTGTATCTATAAATAACAACGTTAAACATAAAAAAATGTCTTTAATATATATATATATATATATATATATATATATATATATATAAAAGAAAAGAAAGTGTGTAGCTTAATATTACATGACATTTTTAAAAGCGAAGCGACTGGTTTCACTCGCGATTTTCAGGCCTCTATGGACGATTTAACTTAGATTAAAACAACAGGAAAATGTGTAATGAAGAGGAGAAAAAATGAATACAAAGAGCAAATAACAACGAGCCCCAACAAACATTCACGCTGTTTACACAGGAAAGGTTTGCCGGACCCGATATAAAGTGCCTCCAGCACCTTGAAATGAAATAGATAGTGCAACCGGAACACAACAGTGAACCAGTCAGCGCTAAAATTATCAACACACCCTCTGTTATTTAAAAGGTGGTCACATATGACGGAACAATATGTATTTGGGACACGTCCATTCAACGATAAGGTGGGATTCCTGATCTTAGTGGAAACATGTTGTCTGATTCTCATGTTCAGGCGTTGAGTGGTTCTCCCTATGTAGTCGTCAACTACAATTATATTTATAAACAATAGAATTAATTTGATGGTGAGGGAGAACTTTACTTGCACCCAGAACGAAGCATAGGCCGTGTTTCTAAACTATACGGACCTCAGCCGAGAAAAAACAACGATGAATATTAGCTGAAATCTGCCTAGTTATACTTTCACACTAAGATAAACAGGGTACCTTTTAACTGTACAAAGTTTGTCCTTTCTGAAATCCACAATCTTGTTCCGAATGACCGAATGAACAGTACCAGGGGAATGCCCGAAACCACATAAGGTTTCCTTTTCGTTTCCTACGATAAAAGGAATCCCAACGCGCGTATAACCCCGCAAAAGTTGGTTTCCTATAAACTGAGGTGAGAAAAGTAGTCGGTGTCCGATGTACTAGAACATCCAAGAAGGCTAGTTGAAAATTGAATTCCTTCTCGACCGTAAACCTCAGCGCTGGATGAATACCATTAAGAAAAGAGAGAAACTGATCAGCCTCAACTACATTATTAAATAAACAATAAGTATCGTCAACATATCGACAATACACTTGAGGACGAAATACACTACTACGTATTCTCTTCTCGTGAAAGCCAAAAAAAAATTGGCCAACGCCGGACCCAAAGGGGAGCCCATAGCAACACCGTCAATCTGTCGATATATAGTATTATTAAAACTGAATCCAACAGACGACGTAGCAAATTTCATCAAATACACAAATACAGACTCAGGAATACTACTAGGTGGAGACAAAGAACTGCGATAAAGCAAATCACCTCAAATATTAATTGTTTCTTAAAGAGGAACACGACATCAAAGGAACACATGAACTTACCTGAAGAAGACAAATTTTGGATGCAGTCAACAAAGTAAAAAGAATCTTTTAAACAAAAAACATTTAAGCGCTGCAACACTCGTTCTAAAAGTGATGAGAGCCATTTGGCTACCTTGTGTTGGGCTGATCCAAGCACTGACAGAATCGGTCTCAATCGTACCCCATCCTTGTAGATTTTTAGAAGCCCATACAAACGGGGACGAATTGACCCAGACGGGCGAATTTCATTAGCAATTTCTTGTGAAAGAACCCCACTTTTTACTCACCTCAAGAGTAATTTCTGAAATTTTATTTCACTTGAGGTTGTTGCATCACACGTATCGGAAGACCCTAGATTTATAAATTTAGAAGTGTCTTCCAAAATCGAAGACATCTTAGCTACATAATTTGCCCGATCTAAAATAACCACACCAGCAACTTTATCCGGTCTGGAGATTACAAGATCAAAATTATTCCTCAATGAATGAATAACTTATTGATATTCAGCTTTCCACTAATTCCACTTCAATATATATATATATATATATATATATATATATATATATATGTAAAATTGTTGAGCTTTTGTATAGGATGCAAATTCACTTTTATTAGTTTGAAGAAATGGTGACATTCATTCGTTTTTACGAATACATTCAAAGTTTAATATGGAAAAACAGAACTGGTTACTCCAGACTTGACTTGAGTTGAAAGCTTTATTCACTTCACGAGACTCAAAGAAAAGAAACATTCGATTAGTGGCTTGAAAACTTTCTTCTCCATTCCAAATGCCTGCAGAAATTTTCCAGTATTTGTATTACTATTTTTTCGCATTCACATTACGATTTTAAAATGGCGTGTACCAAATGGGGGAAATATTAGGCCATCAGCATTATACATCATCTTATCTATCCCAGTGTCTCCATATCTATCTATCTATCTATCTATCTATCTATCTATCTATCTATCTATCTATCTATCTATCTATCTCAGTCTCTGTATATCTATCTATCACAATCTCTCTCTCTCTCTCTCTCTCTATATATATATATATATATATATATATATATATCGCTCGATCAATCTAAGTCTGTCCATATCTAGCTAGCTAGCTTTCTATCTATCTCAGTCTGTCCATATCTATCTATCTATCTATCTATCTATCTATCTATCTATCTATTATTTACTTTTTTATATGTATGTATCTTTTTATTTATTTCTTCTTTTTTTCTTTTCCACGGCTTTCGTTCTTTCGCAGTTTTTTTCTTACTGGTGTACATTCTAGACATGACATCACGTCATATATTCCTTTCTTGCTTACTTTCGTTCTTTCTCTCTTTCTTTCTCAGTTTGTAAATGTTATTGTGATTAACTGAATCATAATACAAGTTCCAAGAAAATTAATATATATATATATATATATATATATATATATATATATATATATAATGACATTAACTTGCATCCTAAAAAACTCAAGTCTATTTCAATCCCTTTATAAACCGGAACTATAAATTATAATAAAAGGGAATGAATTATTATTAGTCGTTTCATATGGAAACATTCGGAATTCATTGACAGGAGAGCCATTACAAATATCGGTTGAAATTTCTCAGCCATTTTCTTAAAGTAGAGTGGAATGTCAACATCTTGATTACGTCATTATTTTCTCCTTGCGCCATATGTGCAAATTCATTTTATTTGTAGTTGCTGTTGGAATTGCTGAACCTGTTTTTTTTTCTTTTATTTAGTACAGGTCTGTGATTCTGTAGCGCCAGTCCACAAAGTTTAAAGAAGGATAGTTTCTTACTAATCTATAGGTACCTTCACTCAAAGCAATTTTTAGTCATTTATCTGCGATATCAGTTTTATGCAGCTGAGAATGTAGACATTTCTAAAAGATTTGTCACCCTTCGGAACATCCATATAAAAGTCTCGATCTGACAATGCTATTTAGGAACACACACACACACACACACATATATATATATATATATATATATATATATATATTGTGCATTTGGTCAGCAAACTTTTATGCGAGTTTCCCATTGTTTGTATATATTTTTTTCAGGACATAAATTATATAAAAACTGTCAGGCGTATTCTAAGATATATGTATGTATGTTTGTATGTCTCTGTCTCTGTCTCTGTCTCTCTCTCTCTCTCTGTCGCTAAATATATATATATATATATATATATATATATATATATATATATATATATATATATATATATATATATATATATGGGTAGTGCTATATGCATATTATATATATATGGGTGTGTGTGTATGTATATGTATATGGGTGTGTGTGCGTATATATATGTATATTGATAGACACACATACACAATTACGAATACACATTACCATCCGATCCGATGCACGCATAGACATACTTGAATCTTACAATCTTAGGTCCATATAGAATTATTTTTAGGTTTAAACTTACGTGATACGTGACTGACCAATGAGAACTGACCTAAACAAAATTGAAAAGTTCTCTCATTTTGTCGGTTTTCTCTCAATCTCTAACGAATCTTTAGTCAAAGATAAACACATGCTAGATTGATATACGCTTCCTAATTGTTCTTGATCTCATATATATATATATATATATATATATATATATATTTATATATATATATATATATATTCAGAAACATGTCAAAATCGCTACACAATAACAGGTGTGTCGATGCGTATAAAATGCATGTCATCAGCCGATTGTAAATTACTGGCGAGGGGACAATTTATTTAGATTTAAAAGCAAAATACATCTTTTTACGAAAAAAGGAAAACGGGGTATAAAGTTTCTGGGCATTAATCTGATCAAACAATCAAATATTACCAATGTTAAATTTAAACTAAGCGAAGAAGTAAAAATTAAGAAATTATTTTCCATCAGTGGGTCATGATCCGTAGATTGCCAGTAAATGGCAGCACAGACGTTAAAAACAGGAGCGGATGTTAATGGATACATATTTTACACATTAGACAATGTCATTTCCTAAGAAATAATGAGATGGAGTAGTAATTTAACAAAATGTTAAACAATTTATATGCTTTGTGAGTTTCCTACACAAAAAAAATATAGTTGATAAATAAACAGCTTCTGTTAGAAACCAGTGAATAATTTAAACGTATAAGAATTACTTGGTAAATTAATATGCAACTGTTGACTAAAGATTCTTTCTATAAGATGTTTAATAACATTAACCAATCAATGCAAAATATTAAAAATACAAACCAAATACCAACATATCCGTACAAGATGTTACTAATACTACCAGGAGATTAATACAAAATCATATTAAATCTAAATTAATCTTACAAATATATAGATAATCCATATATGATTCAACAGAATTTAACTAAAATCTAAGAAAAAACATTGTCAAATTCTAAGTCTAACTAAATTGTAAGGTAAAACGTATACTGTGTTTACAATTTACCATCAACTCGGATCTTTGGTTTAATAAAGCATTGTTATCAAAGAACCTGATAATTTCTAAAATTTGCCATTTTAAAATTTTTCCATTTCACCTTAGGAGTTTTATTATCATCTTTAAAACTCCAAATATATTTCGAAAGTTATGTATTTTTTCTATAAGTATTATTATTAAAGGACAATATATGTTGATACCCCATAGTCTTGAAAAGAATTCTTAGTACTACCAATATAGACTTTTTCAAACGTCGGATTCTCTATTGTAGAGATAGTAAAAAGATAAACAAGAGATTTAGTTTTCTATGGCAATGGGCATTGGTCAGAATTCCTACAATTACACTGGTCAGTATCATTAACATAGTTTTTCTTGGAACTTGTATTATGATACAGTTTATTAAATTGGTTTAAAATGTTATTATTGTCAGCAATAATTTTTTTTTCTTTTTAAAGACCAAACTTCATTTTAAAAAAGGCGGGAATGCGAGTACAGAAACTGTAGCAATAAAAATGGAGGTTTCATTCATCTTTTTCAACAGTAAACGGGTGGGACCTAGATGACAATCTAGTATCAGGCTTAAATTCATCTAGTTGGCGCATCAGGAAAAAAAAACTCTTCAGAACAGTTGCCATGAACATATTTCTAGAAAAAACGGAAGAAGGCCATGGCGCGTCGGTGAGAAACTAACTGAAGTCGAGATGCCATGTCCGGATCGATTACATTGCAGATACTTCTTTTGTCAAGTATCTCAAGATGCAGAGCAGGAGCAGCAGATCTGATATGCCAACAGTGTTCAATGCATGGACGAATGGTATATTTGTTAATGTTCAAGATGGATTCTGAAGAGAAAAATGTTCTGGCACCACACAGTGATCCAACTTTTCTTATGATAAATGCAGTTATTGATTCGATATAGTCGTTCCATTTCAAGTCAGTTGAAAACGTGAGGCGAAGAAACCTCAGAGTGTTACTTTCCAGAAGTCTAGAGTCATCCATGCTGATGTCAGGCAAATAAGGTTCTTTATCGTGGTTAAAGTGTTGGGGGAGCGCAATGGAGTAATGAATAGCGGCTCAGAGAGCCGAGTTCAAATTCCAGTCGAACCCATTATTGTTGTGGCCTTGTAGGTGCCAGAAATAAAGACACAAGGAGAGGAATTGATTTAAAAGAAATATATTAACAGAAACAGTAATACAAAGATATATAAACGAGAGTGTTACAACAAGAATGTTCGATCCGACTGTCAGAGCTGACCACTGGAAACTTCCCTCTCCAAAAGGCAGTACCTGCTCCTATTTATAGCTGGGAGAGTCCATGCTTGCGTGGGTAAATTACCATAACAATTACATCCGTTTACGTGCTAATACCCTTAGGAAAGTTATGAAACCTGTTCCCTTTTTAGCTATGAGTAAATAGCAGGACAGACCGGGTTCTATAACCTCGGATGGCAACTGGTCTACCGCAGAAAGAAATGGCAACCTGCTCATCATTTCTGTATCGAAAGATACATGATCGCTTAAGTGTGTATCACGCATGGCACATAACTGACTGATTGTAGTTAAATAAAAACAGTTTTGGAGGCGTTAAAATTTACAGGTCATTATCTGTCTCGGTTAACCACTGGTTGGAGTTTCTTTTCAAGAGCAGCTGCCATGGTTATTTTGTCAGCTTTCTGGGACTTGCTTCTGAAGCAGGAATAAATGGTAATTTTATCTGCATAAGTACCTAGTTGGGAACTGATAACATCAGGAAGATCAGAAACAGCATAGAACCCACGTTCGTGTGAAAGTGTCTGGAAGCAAGACCATTTAAAATGACCTTCAGTTCACGATTTGATAGGAACGGTTGGATTATATCGAACATTCGTTTTGTGATACAATAGCCCTGCAGCTTACGTAAAAGACCAGCGTGCCAAACCGTGTCAAACGTCTTAGAGATATATAAAGTCATAGCTCGAACTTCGCCGTTATTATCAAGAGCTTGATATACATGTTCAGTGATGGTCGTTAACCTATCAGCGGAGAAAAAAATCCATATTGTTTATAAAACAGCAGGTCTTAAGAAGTAAGATACTTAAACATTTCACCATTTATTTGTGTGCATGTATGTAAATGTGTGTATATCATACAATAGCGAACCTGTTGATATGTATATAGATAAAATATCCAAATGTTGGACAATTTTTGCCTTTATTTTCACCAGAAATTAAAGCAAATATTCGAACGGCTCACAATCAGTCATAATAGCCATTCATTGCCCGTTATATTATATATATATAATATATATATTATAGAATAATATATATATATATATATTATAGAATAATATATATATATATATATATAATAATCGACTCTCTCGTCGAGATTCGACGTATGAGGGTCAAGCAGATCAGTTTCCAGGAAACCGACAGCCCGACACCGGCACATGAGATTTGATTATAGTGGTGAAGGCTTCGTGCAGGACTATCCACACTTTTTGAAGGGACGAATACAGAGACCTGGTGCACCGAATGCCACAAGGTTCCCGAACGACCCTCCACAGATTTTGAATTCAGAGTTGTCCTTCTCCTAGACCAGTTGCCATCCAAGTCTGTCCTGCTATTTTACCCATAGCTGGAGGGAGAGGATTCATACCTTTCCCAAGGTTATTAGCACGTAAGTGAATGTAATGGATTCGACTGGAATTCGAACTCGGCTCTGCGATTTCTCAATCCAAGCCGCTATCCATTACTCCACCGTGCCTATATATATATTTAATCTAACAATGATCTCATCTCACAATCCTCACACTTGCTCCATATGTGGCCTCCTTTGTAAATAACCAGCGGGTCTTA